ATCTGGCTCAGTCTTTGAGACCATCTTTAAGAATAGTCTTTATACTGCACCCTGTGCTCTTTAAGGAGCAAGCAAAGTGTCCCAAGTTGGGGGATTTCTATGCAGTAATAGCTCAGAGCGCCCCTGGTGGCTCAGATGGTAAGGAATATTCCTGCAATGAGGGAGACCCAGCTTCAGTCCTTGGGTCAGGGAAGAGCCCCTGGAGAAGGGGATGGCTACCCACTCCCGTATTCTTGCCTGGAGAATTCCATGGACAGAGGAGCCTGGCGGGCTACAGTCCATGGGGTTGCAAAGAATGGGACACAACCTGGTGACTAACACACATACACATACACAACAACAGTTGACTAATGAGACAATAACTTCTGTTTTAGTCAAAAACTTTCTATTTTGGCAAACTAAAATTACTAAGTTACAAACTTTATAATTATTTTTTTTAAATACTGTCAAAAATATAGTTTTAGATGCTTTACATGCTGTGGGTAGGAAGCACAGACAGGTTATAGATTTGCCTAAAGTTACCAGCAGGTAAGTGGAAAAAATCAGGTCTGGAAGCCAGAACTTCATCTAGCTCTTTCTGTTTTTGCCTCAGTACAATGAGAAACAATTTAGTCCTCTGTAACATTCCCTTAATACTTGTAAGAATGTTTACCTTGCTCACAGAATGTTCTCATTATACTTGAAGCAAATTTTTAAAAATTTAAAAACATGGACATATGTTACCTATTGCATTTACCATAGGAACATCTAGGTTATACTGTGTCTACTGCTGATGTATATATCTAACTGAACACCACTTTAGTTACATTAAATAACACATTTATCATGCAAATATTTGATGAGATACCACCACACTACAAAGCAGGTATTTCTTCCCCAGAATGCCTTGAAGATGAATAATATGCTGAAAATTATGAATTTTTTCATAATCATAATGAATAATTATGCTGAAAATCAGCATAATAACTGATGGTTTATTTTAAAATGCTTAAATTACAAATCTTTATTTAAGAAAAAGAACCTAGGAGAGAAATAACATTTGAGACAATATTTAGAATGAACGGTGATTAGGGTAGAAAGGAAAAGAAAATTCTTGCTCAATAGTAAAAACATGAAAGAATTTACAAATGTATTACTGATTCAGTGATTGATAAAATACATCAGGAATTCAAGAATAATGTTAGATTTAGAAATATGAATTGCTAAAATTACAAAGTAATAATAATGGTTCCAATTGCCTATATTAAAGTACCTACAAAATCCTGTTTTGTGTGCACAGAATTTCTTTATACCAACCTAAGTTAGATACGGAATAGAGAAAGTACTGATACTAAATAAAAAATGTCACCAGATTTTTTTTCCTACAAGGACACTTCCTGTATTATTATTTTTCATGGATTTTGAAGGCCATAGATACCTGAAAAGTAAGTCAATTTAGTCAATTGACAACTAATGAGTTTCAACCAATTGTTTTTAAAAGCACATAAAAGATAAACTTCAGCCATTTTGTCTTGTTTCCTGAGGGAAACACTTATTCACACAGTTTTATCACTGGAAATGACTAAATATTAATGAAAACTTTCAGATCTAGTGATAACCTGTGTTGATAAATAACTGTCCAACTTTGGGAGAACTTCTTAGTATAGTTCTTTGTTCTCCTATATTCTGAAGGACTTAGGAATTCTGGCTCATGAGTTTTTTGTGATGATGGAAGATAGACTATATGAGAAAACTGAATGTTAACACATTGATTATCTTATTAAGCAGACATGGTGAGCAAATAATGTTTGTTGTTCATCTAACAGTTGATAAATGAATGTTAAAATCTGTCATCCTCCTGCCTTATATTTCTTGGCAGTTTAATCATTGTGATACTGACAGAACAAAAATTGTATTTACTATTTTGAAGAAATATACCAAAGATCAGAGAAGAAATTTTTTTTAAATGAACCAATATTCCCTTCCTAGTCTACTTACGTCATGTCTTAAGGGCTTTACATTATTCTTTTTAGCAGACATTCAAATTTCAACACTGTCTACACCATAGTGTCTACTCACAGCCTCTATTACTGTAAAACAAATGATTTAACATTTCTTTTTTTAAAATATAAATTTATTTATTTCAATTGGAGGCTAATTATTTTACAATATTGTAGTGGTTTTGCTATACATTGACATGAATCCACCATGGGTGTACATGTATTCCCCATCCTGAATCCCCCCTCCCACCTCCCTCCCCATCCCATCCCTCTGGGCCATCCCAGTGCACCAGCCCCAAGCACCCTGTCTCATGCATCAAACCTGGACTGGTGATCCATTTCACATATGATAATATACATGTTTCAATGCCATTCTCCCAAATCATCCCACCCTCGGCCTCTCCCACAGAGTCCTAAAGACTGTTCTATACATCTGTGTCTCTTTTTCTGTCTTGCATATAGGGTTATCGTTACCATCTTTCTAAATTCCATATATATGTGTTAGCATACTATATTGGTATTTTTCTTTCTGGCTTACTTCACTCTGTATAATAGACTCCAGTTTCATCCACCTCATTAGAACTGATTCAAATGTATTCTTTTTAATGGCTTACTAATATTCCATTGTGTATATGTACCATAGCTTTCTTACCCATTCATCTGCTGATGGACATCTAGGTTGCTTCCATGTCCTAGCTATTATAAACAGTGCTGTGATGAACACTGGGGTACATGTGTCTCTTTCAATTCTGGTTTTGATTTAACATTTCAAATCTACATTTGACGTAGGGGCTTGATGGAGATTTAAAGGCTGCCTTTGGTTTTAATGGATAAAGTATAGGTTCTTCTTCACAGAAAAATACTGCTGTGGTTTGACCATCCTAATTAGTGTATGCCTGTAAGTCCTTTTTCCCGGACAAGGTGATTAATTTCTTAGCCCCAATGATATGGTAATTTGTAGGGCAACTCAATGTAGGCTATAGTTAGCAGTTTAGGAGTGAAATCATAGTAGGAAGAAAATATTGGCCATGAATTAAAGTTTTGAAAACTTTCAAAATTAAACATCATTTAAACAATTTAAATTGAAATGTTTAAAAAGTGGCATGTGCCTGGGGTGGGGCAGAGCTCAAATTTGTGCTGAATTGTCTCCAACAGTACTAATACAGTTCAGAAGACTATATGTGAGAACAGAAATAACTGTAAATGTGGATCACATTCAATCAATAATGAGTTGAGCTCCCTGACTGCTGAAAATGGTGATGCTTATTTTTTTCTTGCTTTAAATTATCAATATTGCTTTAAATTATCAATATTTCCCCCCTTAACCCAAGGGCCTTTCTCAAAGGCTAGCTTTTCTGGTCTCCAGGGAGTGCCAAGAAATCCTGAGTGGGGGGCCCCACAGCTGATACCTGAAGACCATCTCTACTGCCCTGCCTCATTCTTGAGCTTGCAACTCAATGGTGTAAAGAAAACCTCCCTATAACAGTCCTGAACCCCTGCCTTGACGTTTGCACCCCCAAGTAGGTGGATTTTTTAAAAAAGTAAAAGATTTATGTACATCTCAAGAGTGGTTCCCTTCCTCCTAATCAGTGTGGGCAACATTAAAGAGATCTCCTTCCTCCTGAAGCTTATTTGTATGTGTGTGTGTGTTGGGGGAGCAATAGATAAACACAAAAGTAACATGTTAATTAAAATATATAGCATGCCAGTGAGTGGTAAGTACTACTGGGTAAAATAAAGCAGAGAGGGAACTAAAGGAATCAGAAAGGTCTCATTGCAAGGGTGACATCTGAGTAATGATCTGAAGGAGGCAAGAGAGTGAACAATTAAGATACAGGGTATTTGGTCTGGAGCTGAAGGAATATCAGATGCAAAGGCACTGGGGTCAGGGGGGCCTGGTGTTTGTGGAGGAAGAGCAAGAGGGACAGCTGGCTCAAGCGGAGGGAGTGGGAGGAAATAAGGTGGGTGAGGCCAAAGGTCATGTGAGGCCCTGGCTGACCTTCCTAAGGGCTGTCTAAGAAACGTGGGGGCAACGGAAGGACTCTGAACAGGGGAGCGGCATGACCTAACAAGCTGTTAAAGGCCTTGTTCTTGAGGCTAGCTTTGGCGGCGGTGCCATCAAAAGACATCGGAAAGATAAATTTGGTAACAGGTGTCTCAAAGTTTGCACAGACAACTACTGATAAAGGAAAACGGTTGAATTCTGGACAAACGAGTGTGTAGGTGGTCAATAGGAGGGGTTACCCTGAGAAACTGGAAGATGCACCTGCCTAGTTTTCAGGCCGCGACCGCGGAGAAACCTCCAGTCCTGCTCCTCCAGTCCACGTCCTCTCTGCGAGGGTCAGGGCCTCAGCCTTTTGGCCGTGTTGCCATGGCGACTACAGGATTTCTTTCTTTCTTTTTTTTCCTTCTTCCACCCTACTCCCCACTCATACACCTCCTGAGCGCAAAGCACCCGGATCCGCATCCTTCCACCGCGGACGCTGGGTTTGGGCCAGCGCCTACATATCAATATTCCGCTCGCGGCGTGTTCCCCGCCCTCGCCGCGACTCCAGGCGCCAGCCTATTCAGCAGCTCAGCACCCAGCGGTCCGCGCCACCCAACCGCCCTCACCTCCTCCCCGGGGATCACGGCCGGAGCCCCAAGCTGGCTCTGCCCTGGAGCGTCCCTGGCGGCCCAGAGAACAGCCGCGGGTGGGCTCAGTAACGCATCGCTTTCCCACTCGCTGGTGGCGGCCCAGAGTTGCACGTCTGCGGCGGGGAGGGGGCGCCCTGCGCCTGGCTCGCAGGCAGCGTGCCCGGGGAGACCCGCTCTACGCATCCCCGAAACAACTCTCTGGAGAGGTTCAACTCCCCTGTGCGCCGTTTAAGGTCCCCCTGCGCTTCCTGCAATGCACCAGACGGGGGAAGCAGATATCGGAGGCACCTGCATTGCGCCCCCGTTGGGATGCACTGTGCGCAAAAGAGGAGGGGGGGGGGGGTGTCATCTGCTGCAAAACTGGAGGATCGGAGGCGCGGGGAGTTAGGGGTGGGTTTTCTTAGGACTTACCTTGTGCAGTTTCCACATGGCCCCTAGAGCCTTGACTTCGTGGCTGGAGTGTTTGCCCTCCTCCAAGCACTGGTAGCACACGGGCATCTTGCACTGCACGCAGTACATGCTGTGGTTCTCCAGCTCGTGGTCTGTGCAGGTGGAGACCTTCCGTGGGCTTAGCCGCCGGCTCACGCGGCCCTGGGCTGGGGGTACCAGGCGATGCTTGGCCAGAGGACCCCGGGGCGGGTGGCAGCGCAGGCGGCACGGGTCACAGTAGAAGACATCGCACTGTTCACACATGACGGTGGCTTCCTTGGGTGCCTTCTCGCAGAGCTGGCATTTAAGGGCAGCCGCTTTGCTCTGCTGGTAGCGGTCAATTACCCCTTCCAGAACGCGGTTCTTGGGGAAGCCGCGGAGTCCCCGGTCATCCAAGATGAGGCTGCGGTGGCACTGGGGGCAGGTGATACAGGAGTTGCGGGGCACAGAGGCCAAGGCCGGTGACAGGTGGGTGGCCGGTGGCGGCATAGCCGGCGGGAACACACGGACGCCGTTGGGGGACTTCTGGCACGGTGTAGTAGGGGCGCTGGCGAACCCCCCGTAGGAGCCGTAGCCGCTGTCCGCCTCGCTGTACAGGCTCATCTTGTCCAGATCCAGATAATCATAATCAGAGACCCCGGAGCCCGAGGCCCGTCGGCTCTGGGGGGACTCTGACTCCGGGGTCTGTACCAGGATGTTGCGGGCGCACGCCTGACATATATTGTGAGAGCAGGGTAAGATGATGGGCTCGCGATAGAAGGAGCCGCACACGGGGCATTTTAACTCTTCTTCCATCTCTTCCATGGGGACCGGGCTGGGAGCGAAGCAGCTGCGGCTGCAACGGGCGCCTGAGCTGACGAGGTGGCCGGCTGGCCTGTCGTGTCCAGCACCTTGGCCAGCAGTGGCGGCGGTGGTTTTGGCAGTGGCTCCTTCCCGCGTCGCTTAGGCGCCGACTCCCTGCGAGGCGCTCTCTCTATGAGCCACCGAACCTCGGCGCCCAGAGCCAGCCTGGGATCGCCCCCTCCTCTCCCCCTAGTCCCGCCCCAACCTGTAAACAGCGGCCGATTGGACGGAGAACGAGAGAGCGAAGCTCTTATTGGCCACATGCCCCATCCTTCTCCTCTCCTCTGCAGGTCACAGGGGGTTTGGTGGAGGATTCTGAGCATGAGGGGTCTTCATTCCCGGCTGCAAGATCTCGGGAGGCGGCCGGCATGCGGAGGCGAAGGGACCGGGAAGGAGGAATTAGGCGGGATGACTCATCCCTCGCCCCGCTTCCTTCCGACCTCCGGCTCAGTCGCCCGAGAACGGAGCGTGAGAAACCCCTCCTCGCAGCGAGGAGGCTGGCCGAGGAGTTGGTGCCTATCGCCGGCGTTTGCGTTTGGCTTGCAGCTATGGTCTCCGGGCCGACCTCCCCTCGGCGAGTGCTGCACCACAGAGGAGTCGGCCCTTCTCCTTCCGTTGCTGGCGCCTCACCCAGACCTCGGTTTCTGTACTGTAGCGGGGACTTTCTCCCCAGCTCAGGAACCCGCGGAAGCCGGTCCCTGCACTCCAGCTTCCGGGGACCCGATGGTGCAGGCCGTGAGCCCTGGCAGAAGTCCACTCTTCTTTGTCTTCTTTCTCTCCCGGTTCCTGCTGTCTAAAAGGGGACTGACAATATCGATTTCCTAGTGTTGCTGTGTGACTTAAACTAGGGACCCACGTAAAGCTCAGTATACTAATTAAAATCTCTGGCCCCTTCATTTCACGCTTTCAGTACAAACTCGGCCCAGAGGCTTCTTACCGTGTGATGTGAATGTGTCCCTATATCCCCACTTCAGTCCCCGTTCCCTCAAAGCTGTCCTCTCACCAGGCTGTCAGCACCTGGCTGATTTTCCGAAATAAGAGCAGCAGAATCTTTGGTTCAGTTGAGGCAGGATTGGGTTGCTTATTTCTGAGTGCCCACAGTTCGGTAAATGGATCACTGTGTCCCTGCAGAGTCTCTGTATGACACCAAATAGCATCTACTACAGCTTCCAGGATGGTGGGTTCTTCCTGTTTCTTCTAGCGAAGTGCATGAGGAGGTGATGGTGATGGTGGGGGCAGGGTAGTTCTAGTGTCAGTTCTTAAATATTAAGCACTCTTCTCTCTCTTCCCAGTCATCGCTGGAGATAACTGATCCTGTCCCTTGCTTGCAGTACTGCTAATTTGATGATGGAGGACCAAAAAAAAAAAAAAAAAAAA